ACATAAACTTCCCTTTTTAAGACCATTTAACATTTGTCATTATGTAAAGTATCACAAACTTTTCCTTTAAACAAGAAGGTCATTACCAGAAGTAATAACATAAGAATTATTTGTTTGCTATTCTGTTTTTTAAATTTCTTTTTGAACAAGTTTTATTTGCATTTAGTTAACATTTTGTACAATTTTTAAACTATCAACCATAATTTTAAGTGGCTGTCGATAATGTCAACTAAAAAGATGCTTGTGCGTCAGCTGTTTTTTCTTTTTCAATCACAATTAGTAATAATCAAAAACGATGCTATATTGTTTCAAGTTATGTGAGATTTGCTTGCCGCCCACTTGGCGGACACACTTAAGTACCAGCTGCTACAGTGTCTACAGACTTTAAACTTTGTATAAAAATTATTTAAAAATCTTATTAAACTGATAAACCTCATCTGCTGATAACAGCAGTGACTGTTGAGTGCCACAAAGTGCTATTAGAAGGGTATTAAATGTTTGTAAAAACTAGAAAATGCACTAAACTAGCACTAGACTGATTGAAATGTGGGTTTACTGTTAAAATCCAACCAGTCACATGCAATATCCGGGGCAACACTGCGGCAAAAGCGGAAAAGTTTACTAACAACAAATAGCCGTAATTCCAAAACAAAAAAAGATGGAAACTTTCCAGCATTTCACCAGTGAAGTTGCAAACACTTGAGCCAGTAATCAGGCACGTGTGTTTGGCGGTGATGATCTTGAGGTGGTGGTGGTCTGCCCACCATCACCATTTTCTATTTTCAATGTCATCACCAAATAGGTTTGCCAGAAAGTAGTAATGGCCTCCTTTGCGCACCTTTTGTTGAGTGTTTTCTGACCGCCAACAGATTTGTGGTGTGTTTAAAATGTAAAAAATCGGTTTAGCATTTTTACCAAATGGGCGATCGCTGTTCTTCCGTACAGCAACAGCAGCAGCAGCAGCAGCAGCAACAGTATTACAACTGCTACAATTGCTACTGATTGATCTCCAATCTTGATACGTGTCTAAAGTGGGGCATCAACATCAGCTCCAAATTGGCGCCTGACTGTCTGAGGCTTCGAACATAAATAGGGACACTTTCCAGCGTCAGTAACACTACTATTACTAAATAGCGCACAACTAAACCCTAGACTAATATGAGCTTCTTTTTCTCATTTGGCACTTTTGCCTTCCTCTTGATCGTTGGCAGCTCAAGGGCAGCTGATGTTCATCCCCATGGTCNAAATAGCGCACAACTAAACCCTAGACTAATATGAGCTTCTTTTTCTCATTTGGCACCTTTGCCTTCCTCTTGATCGTTGGCAGCTCAAGGGCAGCTGATGTTCATCCCCATGACCCATCATCATCATCATCATCATCATCATCATCATCATCTCCAATTCGAATGATCGTCGACACCGACATCGGCCCTTGGCCGGACGACATCGGCGCCTTCTCCATCCTCCACAGCTTCGCCGACCAGGGCCTGGTGGACCTGCTGGCCATCGTCTCCAACAACCGCTACGAGGGGGCGGTGGCGGTGATTGACGCCATGAACAGCTACTTCAACCGCTCTACGATTCCCATCGGCATCACCCACGACCCGCACGCCTGGCACCGCTCGGGCGTCATCGGCTGGCCAGAGTGGGTCCTCGCCCACCTCCCTCACCGCCCTCACTTCCGGTCAAATGAACAGGCGGAGGAGGCGGTGTCCCTCTACCGGCGAACGCTGGCCGCTGAGGCCGACCACTCGGTGACCCTGCTCTCCATCGGCTACATGACCAACCTGGCGAATCTTCTCCACTCCAAGGGTGATCACCACTCGCCGCTGAACGGCCGACAGCTGCTGATCGCCAAGGTGAAGCACATGTTCGCCATGGCGGGCTGGTACCCGGCGGGAAATGAGACCAATCTGATTGACCAGCCGGCGGCCTCTCAGGCGACCCTGCCTCACTGGCCAACGCCCCTCACCTTGGTGGGTTTTGAGGCCGGCGAGAAGATCACCTGTGGAATGAATCTGATTGATCCGGCGACGAACCGAAGTCTGCACCAGTTCTCCCCGGTGGCGAAGGCTTTTGAGCTGTACAACCGGGTCATAGGCGAGCCTGATGGCTGCTTCGACGAGCTGGCCGCCTACGTCGCCGTCAAGGGCACCCGGCCGCTGTACGAGCTTCAACGGGGGCAAATAGTGGTCTACCCGAATGGAAACAACTCCTGGATTGACGACCACGCCCATGGACCGCAGCAGTACGTCAAGCAGGTGGTGCCCAATCAGGCGATTCTCGATGTGCTCAATCCGCTGCTGGAGCGGTAAATTAAGCCGATGAATTTTTCGGGTCACTTTACAAAAGTAGGCCACTTTTGCTTGCTTGCATCTCAACGACAACTGTCACCAGGTGTCATCAACATTTATTTTTTCAAGTTTTTTTTGTGTTTTATTTTTGGTCTTCTCATTTTTTGTAATTTATTAATTTAATTGAGTTTTAAATTTTTTATTTTTTAAAATTTTACAAAAACAACTTTGCTTTTAATTTACAAAAAAAATTAATATGCTTACAAAAGAAAAAAATACTATTTTCTTTACCCAAAATTAAATAAAAAGTGTGGTAGCCACTTAAAACATTACAAAAGCGATTTTAAAGGAAAAACACACACAAATCCTGTTTTCTTGAACTTGTCAACAGTTACGCACAAAGCACACACACGCACCTAAAATAAAACACCAGTAATCTCCCGTATTTCGTCATCACCATCAGTTAATGTTTTTCATAATTCTCTAATCTTTTTTGTTCAAATACCCTCACTACAAGAGCGGGAAAACTGAATCAGACAACAACAACAACAACAACAACAACAGCAGAAACAGCAGTGATTGATGAGAAAACAAACTAAAATTTGACTTCAAAAGGAAGAAGGTAATCACCACCGGCTTTACCACCGCAAATCAAAGCTTTCAGTTTGTCCAATTTTTTTTTATTATCTTTCTCACTCTCCTATTTTTCCCTTTCTGCAAAAGCCAACTGGTAAGCGGTAAAAAACAATGCAGTGCCAACTGTAGTGTCGACAATCAGATAAGAGAGGAAGTGAAAAGAGAAAAAAATGTTAAATAACATAAGCTTGAAAAACAGCAGCAGCAGCAGCAGCAGCAGCAGTTGTCACTGCACCAACCAATGCACTTCGCCTTTCACAGACACTCGTGAAGACAAAGAAGAAAGGGAAAGAGAGAGAGAGAGAGAGAGAGAGAGAGAGAGAGAGAGAGAGAGAGAGAAACGATTGGGCACAGGAAAAAAGTACAAAAGGTCTTCTGCAGCAGCAGCAGTGTTAGTTGTATTGACATAAACTGCACCTGCATCACGAATAGGTAAATTACACCTAATAAAGGGGAGTGTGTGTGTGTGTGATGACTTGAGGAAAACGGGATGAAGCCAGTCACACAGCCTCATTGTAGGTAGTCCTCAAGTTGCTAGCCTTTTTAAACGATGAAAAGGACAAAAACTAAACGCTAAGCGTTTAGTCAGTTTTGCAGAGCGTTGTTTCAGTAGACGAAAAAGTTTTTTTCCTGACTCAAAAAGGGGTTAACTTTTTTCTTCTTCAAGTTTTGAACTGGCGGTTTGTCTCCTTTTCTCTCACTTTCTTTCTCACTTACTTGTTCACTTTTTGGTCAAAGCNTCTCTCTCTCTCTCTCTCTCTCTCTCTCTCTCTCTCTCTCTCTCTCTCTCACTTACTTGTTCACTCTTGGGTCAAAGCCTACAACCTAGAGGAAAATTAACCTTTTTTGCACTCAACTTCAACTTTAGCAGCAGTAGCAGCAGCAGCAGCAGAAGAAGAAAAAGAAGAAGAAAAAGAAGAAGAAGAAGAAGAAGAAACCGGTAAAAACTCAGCTCAACTTCTCATGAGCTTTCAGAACAAAAATCGCCAACTCTGCCCTGCGTCTGCAATCGGCGTACTCTGGGTACAGCATCGATAAGGAAAGGAAAACTCGGGGAGGATGTACCGTACAATGTACGACAACAGCGCTTTTTTTCTATCTATAAATCAGCTGGTTTGCTGTGTGTTCTGCTTTCTGTTCAGATTCTATCTCTCCATCATCAGCACCATCATTACACTGCAGTGATATTGCACTAGCAACAGCAACAGCAACAGCAACTCAGCCAACTCTACTACCACAAAACCACCGCTACTATCACTAGCACTTCAAATTACCTCACACTCACACACACACACACACACACAGCTCACACAGCTCACATAGCTCACACTTGTGTGATTGCCGGCGACAGGAAAAGAGTGAGAGTGAGAGAGTGCTTGTCTGTTCTCTGTCTGTTCTTTCTCCCTGTTTTTTTTCTTCTATTGTTTGTTGTCATTTGTTTTTGCTGTCGTCTTTTGCTTTGCTCAGCAGGCAATGCTGAGCATATGCTGAGGCTCAGCCGTCCATTGAGCCGTCCTTGCTCAGAGTAGTTTTTGGTTGATGTGACAGCAGTACCGGAGTAGAAGGCAGCCCCGGCCGACGCAGCCAAAAAATTCTAAATTTTTTTCCACCTGCTAATGCTAAGTGTTGCAGCAGCATTTTGCTTCAACCTTTTTGGAACTTTTCCTTTCCTTCCAGGCGCCCTGATCACGCTAGTTTGCTGCCTCTTCTTTTTACCAGTCTTATTACTTTGTTGCTGCTGCTGCTGCTGATGGTTGCCCTCATTTGCGCCAGCAACATATAAGCCACTGTACTTTATTTTCAACTCAGCATAACATTGCCTTCTCACATTGCAAAGGACACCTCAGCACAATGATGTCCTCAATATTATCATCATCTTTATCCTCCTCCTCCTCCTCATCCTCATCCCCATCCTTCTCCTCAAACCTTCAGTACTACCTAAGCGAGTACTGGAACGAGGCGGGCGACCCTCGCACACGTCACCTCTTCCTCATTGGCCACTCCTTCACGCCCTTCGCCCTCATCCTCACCGCCTACCTTCTCCTGACCTTCCTCATCGTCCCTCGCCTCATGGCCGGCCGCGAGCCGTACCGCCTGAAGCCGCTCCTCATCGGCTACAACCTCTTCCTCAGCCTCTGGAACGCCCACTTTCTCTATCGCTTTCTGGTGCTCCACCGCTGGGGGGCGGACGTCTTTGACTTCCGTCGGCCGTCCTTTGAAGACCACTCGCCGCTGGCCCTCGAGCAGATCAGCCTGCAGCACGTCTACCTGCTCTCCAAGTTGGTCGACCTCTTTGAGACGATCTTCTTTGTGCTGCGCAAGAAACCGAATCAGATTACCGCCCTCCACACCTACCACCACTTCACTGGTACTTTTTTTTGTTTCTTATTTTAGCAAAGATCTTATCTCTTATCAAATTTTTTTACCCTTTCATTATTAGTTCCCATCATCGGCTTCGTCAGCATCCGCCTGGTGGGCAACAGTCGGCCGTTGTTGCTCTTTGGCCTCTGCAACTCCTTTATTCACACGGTAAGGCTGCTGCTGCTGTTGTTTTTTTTATCATTTTACTCATCTACTCATTCTTATCAATTTTCAATCTTTTTCTTCTTCACACTCATCACCAGATCATGTACGGCTACTACGGCCTGTCCGCCTTTGGGCCCCACATGCAGCCGTACCTCTGGTGGAAGCGGTACATCACCCAGATTCAGATCATCCAATTCGCCATCTTCATCGTCGTCGGCGTCGCCTTCGTCACCCTCCAAACCGGCCACCACTGGTTCTACCTGACCTGCTTCTTTGGCCAGTCGTCGCTCTACCTGGTCCTCTTCATTCGCTTCTACCTCAAAACGTACAAACAACAACAGCAACAGCAACAACAGAGCAAGAGGAAAGTCGCCTAAAGAGAAAAGAAGGAGAGAAAATGATGCAAAGATGACGTGTTTTTATGAAGTTTAGAGCTTTGCTCTAATTGTGATTGGCGACGATTGTTTTTGTGTTGTATTGTAGTCTTCTTTTTATGTTTCTGTTTCCACTTACCATATTTTTTTAATTGACAAACTTTAGGAAAATTAAAATTGTAATTTTTTTCAACAATATGCTGAAGTTTGCAACTGCTTTTATAAGCAATTTAACCGATTCATTCCGGAGCCCTTTTTAGAGCTGGATCGTTTTTCAGAATTAGATCTTGTTTTTGCTCATCTTTTACGCCCCGTCCCAACCGGTGCCTACATTCTCTTTGGCACTGGGCCCCCCGTCTCTGCAATTGTTTTGCGTTCATAAAAATGAAAATGGTCCGAGCGGGTATTTTTCGGCGGTACCGCTTGGTGAACCTAGAGCTCCGAGATTTACTTTGTTTTATAATTGCCGCTATTCTTACCATCAGGTTGCCATTGTGTTGCTTTTATAAACAATTCAGCGTTTTTAGTTACGTTATTCCGCTCACCGCCGCCGCCGCCAGTTTGATGTCTGTTTTTTTTGTTTTATCTCTTGGATAATGCTTTGCGCATAATAAAGTGTTGATTTGTGAAAAGTTTTTCCTCTTTGGTTTAGTCGGAAATTCGTATAAAGATCTGCCAAAGCAAAGCCATCGATGATGGTATTAAAAAAGTGACAGTTATTCTCATTATCCAATCATGTGATTTTGTTAACTTTACCTCTATTATGTTGTTTGAGACCAAAAAACGAGACAACTTTATCTCATCAATTTATGTAAATTAAAAAGCCTTATTACAATTTTTTGTGTTCAATAATGAAAAAGATTTATTTTTTAAAAATTTTAAAAATTAAAAAAACAACAGTCAACATAACGAAATGATCAGTTAATAAAAAAAATTAAATAACTATACTTTTATGCTGTGCAAAAGGGCGCAATCAGTACAAATTAGAAAAAGTCATACCATGTAAAAGTTTTGCTTTATTTTATTTAAGAATTTTAATTTATCAAATTACTTAAAAATGCAATTTACAAAAATGCTCACCCCTTTGCTTTAGTCATGCTTAAAAAAAGAAAAATCTTTCCGATGACATCATCCAAATTTAAACCGCGTGATAAAAGAGAACAAAAAAAATACCTCATTTTTACCTAAAGAAGCAGCTTCTTTTCACTCTTTTTCCCTTCTTCTATTTCTGATGACCATGCTATATATAAATAAAAAACTAAGTCAACTAAACAATCTGCAAAAAAAGGTTTTCAAAATGGCCAATCTCTCGTTTTCTCAAAAACAGTCTTTTGGCTTTTCAACAACGAATCAATTTCCTGAACTTTCAAGTTTTCTCCGTTTCTCAAGCGTCAAACTGGACATCTCAACTTGGGCGACACTTCAACTGGCATTTCTGTGTTTTTTCCTAGCTAAACTAGTGCCCTTCCTGGTGATCACCTTCCACCGACGCCGCCTGTTCAACCAGCTCCCTCAACTGCCCAAGTTGGGCGTCATCGGGCGTTGGTTGCTAGGAAATATTGACGTGTACTTTTATGCAATGCAGCACCTGACGATTGAAGAAGGTAAGTTTAAAAAAGTTTGTTCTTTAGAAAAAAAAATTCAACTTTAACTTCTTTTCAGCAATCTTTGAAACAACCAATGGCCTCTTTCAATTTGAGTCGGTTAAAAGAGAAGGTCTCTTTGCCTGTCACCTGGGCGCCATTCCCACGGTGGCCGTCTTCCGGGCGGACACGGTGGGTCAGCTGATGAACAGCAGCAGCAGCAGCACCGGAAGTTCCAACAAAAAGTCCTCCTCCTTCGCCAAAACGACCCAAACGAGCAAGGGCGACCAGTTCCGCTTTCTGCGACCCTGGATCGGCCGGGGCCTGATCATCAGCGAGGGCGAGCACTGGCGCCGCCACCGAAAGCTGATCAGCCCCGCCTTTTCACCGGCCATTCTGCGCTCCTTCCTGCCCTCCTTCAACGCCAACGTCGAGATCATGCTCTCACGAGTTTCAAACTCCGCAACAAAAGTCCTCGATTTGCGGCCCCTTGTCAAGGACCTCGCGCTGGACATTGTCACGGAGACGACGCTGGGCAGGGCGGTCGGCGCCCAGCAGGTGGCCACCAATCGAGAGGAGTACATTGAGCCGTTGGACGGGGCGTTAACCTGCTTCGCACATCGCCTGATGAATCCGCTGCACCACCTCGACCTGCTGTACCGCCTTTCAGGGGAGGGGCGTAAAAATACTCGAGTCATAAGGAAAGTTCACCGGTACGTAAAGAAGATCGTTGAAGAGCGGAAGANTCGGCGCCCAGCAGGTGGCCACCAATCGAGAGGAGTACATTGAGCCGTTGGACGGGGCGTTAACCTGCTTCGCACATCGCCTGATGAATCCGCTGCACCACCTTGACCTGTTGTACCGGTTTTCAGCAGAAAGGCGTGAAAATGCTCAAGCAATCAAAAAAATTCACCGGTACGTAAAGAAGGTCGTTGAAGAGCGGAAGGGCGGAAAAGGCGAGTTTGTGGACCCTCAGAGCACTATGTCGACGACAGTGAAAAAGAGACTTCCCTGCTTTCTTGATCTTCTCCTGAAGGCTACCCAAGAGCGCCCAACTGAGATTACCGAGAGGGACATTCTCGAGGAGGTGAACGCGCTGATGTTCGCCGGCCAGGACTCCACCTCGGTGGCGATGACGATGGCCCTCGCCCTGGTGGCCGGTGACCAGCGCGTTCAAGGGCTGATCATTAAAGAACTGGAGGAGGAGGTCTTCGCCGAGGAGGCTGATCCGGTGCGGTGTCCAATTACCGGTGAGCACTGCCGGCGGATGAGGTACCTGGAGGCGGTGGTGAAGGAGGCGCTTCGGCTGTACACCCCGGCGCCCAACACCGCCAAGAAGGTCGTAGAAAAAGAAGGAATAGTGGTGAATGGCCACCGAATTCCCCAGGGGACCTCGGTGCTGATCCTCTACAGTCTGATGCACCGGGACCCGGTGGTCTTCCCCCAGCCGGACCGCTTCATTCCGGAGCGTTTTTTAGAGCCAGA